CCTAAACCCTAAACCCTTACCCTAACCCCCAAACCCCACTCATCAGGTCGCCTATGGACGCGGCAGCACCGGCCGAAGCGGCCGAGCGTGGCGCTCCGCTGCGTGGCAATGAGCGAAGAGGCAGTGAGGGTTGTTTAGGGTTTAGGGTTTAGGGTTTAGGGTTTAGGGTTTTGGGCTTAGGGTTTAGGGTTTGGGGCATAGTCAGCACGGGAATTGCTTTGAGGGCTTTATGAGGGTTTTGTGTTGGTTTCCGTAGGGTTCATGTAAGGTTCAGGGGATGTAGCTTACGTGAAGTTGCCATGCTAAGAGTGCTCATCAACCAAAACCCTAAACCCATACCCCCCTAAACCCTAAACCCCCTAGGCCCTAAACCCCTCCAACCCTAAACCCCAAACCCTAAACCTTAAACCCCATTAAACCCCAAACATACCCCAAAACGTAACCCTAAACATACCTAAACCCCAGTAAACCCTAACCCCCAGTATACCCTAAACCCCAAACCCTTGTCTGGGGATCGGGCTTATTATGGTCTAGGCCCTAAACCCTAAACCCTAAACCCTAAACCCTAAACCCTAAACCCTAAACCCTAAACCACCGTAAACTTTACGGTTGCAGAAGGCTGTAGAGTTGAGGAAGCTGAAGCATGTGCCAGACTCCCAAGCCCTGTATGCTCAGCGAAACCGGTTCTTAGAGGTTTAGGGTTTAGGGTTTAGGGTTTAGAAGGGTTTTCAGCCAAGAAACCATGCTTCTAGAGTTCGAAGGACTCGAACAGAGCCGCACGGGTGCTGCAACGAAGAGGCACCTGCAGATGAGACGGCACTGTGACTTGTAAAGTGTTGTAGCCTCGGAGAACTGCAGCTTATGAGAGAGCCATCCGGTAATTCCTACCATCTCTGCATATAGTTGAAATATGTTTTTTCGATCAGAACGAAGAAGAAGAAGTGGCTATATATATATATATATATGTATATAAACATATGTGAGGAAAATGTTTGCTTGATTTATGTATGCGTATATTAAGAATATGTTTGTTTGAAAATGTTTGTGAGTCTTTGGTATTATGTTGGTTAGATTCCTTTGGTTTTCAGATATGATGTTAAACCAGATTTGTATGTTTATATTTTTCAGAATAGAATCTTTTGTCATATATTTCTGATGATATGTATATACCGATTTGTATTGGGGTTTTTATTTGGTATTCTGGGCTTACGCTCGGGGTCTACGGGCTTCGGGGTTTAGGTGTCTAGTCTGGGTTTAGTTATTTGTGGCTTTCGCATTTCAATTTCCATCAGCGTTTAGGGTTTTTCCAAAGCCCCTTTGTGGGGTATGTTGTTTGCGTTTGAGGGGGGCTGTAGGGTCTGTGTGTAGGTGTGTGAAAGAAGTGACGGAATCTAACCATTAGCAAGTGCCATATTCAGAACTGCACCCTGCACCGCACACCAAATCCTTGAATCCTTAAACTCATACAAAGTGTTTGAGCCTTAAACCCTAAACTCCAAACCCGGAATCCTTCAACTCGTACAAACTGTTTTGAGGCCTAAACCCTAAACCCTAAACCCTAAACCCTAAACCCTAAACCCTAAACCCTTGCACCGCGAGACCCGAACCCTGAGACCCCAAACCCTGAACTGAATCCTCAGAGCACTCACTCCCGAACACGAAGCTGTAAACCCTGAGCTTGGGTACTCTAACATCGAGTTTAGGGTTTGGGGTTTGGGATTTTAGGGGTTTTGGATTAAGGGTTTAGGGGTTTGGGGGTTAGGGTTTCGGAGTTTAGGGTTTAGGGCTTTAGGGGCTTTGGGTTTAGGGTTCTGGGTTTAGGGTTTCAGGGCTTACATAATTTCCATTGCTACTGCAGGGTTCATATTTATCACTATAGTATTGTATGCCCCGAAACCCTATTCTGATTGCTAAGGCCCGGATATTACACTCGGGCGAACGACAGGTCGTTCCTTCACAAGAAGTCACAGCGCGAAGACGTCCGTGTCATCAAGGAGATTCCCGTTAGTTGCTTTTTTTACACTACACCTCAGCCCCCAAGCACGCAAACCACAAAAGCGCTTAACATAAAATAACCAAACCCCTAAAGCCCTAATCCCGAGATGTGAACCCAGATGCCCCGAAACCCTGAACATAAGGTTTCGGCGCCCAGACCCCTTTCTTACAGTTCTTAATGTAAGCATGGTTGAGGGTTTAGTTAGGGTTGTTGTTGACAGTACTAAACCCTAAACCCTAAACCCCAACAAGAAAAATGAGAGAAGCAGTCGGGCAAATAGAGTGCCAGAGCTTCCCCCAACCCCGAAGACCCTGACCTGCTCACTGGCACATTGCCAGCTTAGCTTTGAGCGAGGTGATTCGCAGTTTTAGGGTTCAGGGCTTCAGGTTTAGGGCTTAGGCGAGTCGCAGGTTTAAGGGTTTGGGGGTTTAGGCTGTGGGGGTTTAGGTTGTGGAGTTTTAGGACCTTGATGCCAGCAGTGCGATCACGGATCTATTAACGACGCACCCACGCAAACAATCTAAAGCATTCAGAAACACAACGCTTTTCGTTCGATCAACCATAGTGGGCTTCAAACTCCAAAGGCCACAGCCCTCTGTAAGCTCACAGACCAAGCTCCAGTTGGACAGCAGCCTTCCGCCGCCGGCTGCTCTAAGATCTAGCCGCTTATTTAGTCTGAAGATGAGCCCTAAACCCTAAACCCCAAACCCGAAACCCTAAACCCCAAATCCTAAACCCTAAACCCTAAACCCTAAATCCTAAACCACTAAACCCTAAACCCCCTGAGTACTCCGACCCCACGGTTGATGATATAAACCCTGCATTACCCATCATAAAGAATATGCCATAGTTCCCACAGTTTAGGGTCTAAGGTGTAGGGTCCCTTAAGGTAATGCAGGGTTTATATCATCAACAAGAGGGTCCAGAAAACCCTGAACCCTAAACCCTAAACCCAAAACCCAAAACCCTACCCCGCCTTTGGGGAGCGAGACAGTAGGGAACGCAGCCAGGCGGCCGATGAAGTACGATCGCTTGCCAGCATGGAGGTGAACAACACGCAGGCACGAGCTCAGCGCTGAAGTCTTCCGTGTTGCTGCCACTTGGGAGTTTCAGAAATTCAGGGTACCTTATTTTGGGGTCCTTATAACAGGGACCCTATTATTTAGGGTACTATATTAGGGTCCCCTATTTTCGGAAACCCTCACTTCTCAGAGATAAGCACTTCTGGGACCCACAAAATCTCAAACTTCCAGCACGGGCACCTAAACCCTAAACCCTAAACCCTAAACCCTAAACCCTAACCGTAGAATACTTCTCTGAGAGGCCGGCGATGGCATCGGAGTGCTGTTTGAAAAGATGCCCTCGGCCGGAGGGCCGCGCGTGCTTCCGAAGGTGTCCGGCTGCAACAAGGGGTTAAATTAATTGGGAGTTTCCAGAAATTAGGGTACCTTATTTTAGGGTCCTTACAATAAGGATCCTATTTTTTTAGGGTACCGTATTTTGGGGTCCTTATAATAAGGGCCCCACTATTTAGGGTACTATATTGGGGTCCCCTATTTTCGGAACCCCCCAAATTGCTCGGTCCGACTTCAGGATTCTCGGAAACCGCAGGTTGCTTCGGGGGTCTCCATCCTTCATTGCAAGACAGAGCCGCAAAGCAAAGGATCGTGACTGAAGCTCTACTTTCGAGCTTGAGTCTGTCGCCTCGAAGTGTGGTGATTCGTTAGCCACCGCTGCAAGCCTTTAGGGTTCAGGGTTTAGGGTTCAGGGTTTAGGGTTCAGGGTTTAGGGTTTAGGGTTTAGGGGTTTAGAAGGCCTGCATTTGGAGTCCCCACCTTCTCTTGGAATTCAAAAAGCCACGTGCAACTCGAAAAGGATGAATGCATGAGCCACCGGCCCAACGCTCCATTTCCGGGAGTACGTCGGGTGCGTCGATTTCCCGGGGAGAAACACCAAAGACCATAAGGCCTCACAGAATCAATACCTTTAGGGTTTAGGGTTTAGGGTTTAGGGTTTAGGGTTTAGGGTTTAGGGTTTAGGGGACCTTGCACCCCGAAGCCATAGAGACTTCGGAGTTGAATATTGCGATTCGAGGTGCCCCAACATCACCCCTAGGATGCCACTCCTATAGCCTGCGCCTCACAGTCACAGGAGCCCAGAAGCTCGAGGTGCACAAAACCCCAAGCAGCTTTACACCCAAGCAGCAAGTTCGATAGAGCTCGGGTTTAGGGTTTAGGGTTTAGGGTCCATTTATAAATATAAAGCGGTTCGAGGTCAACGTGGCCGGCGTGAAGGACCCATCTGGTCCACGCCCGACTCCCAGCGTGTGTTGACAGAGCTGGGACTGGGAGCTTTCTGTGCCTGTCCTGGCTGTAGGAAGGGGGTTCGCAAATGTTCAAGAAAAGTCAAACACCCTAAACTGTAGACCCTAAACCCTAAACCCAAGTCAAAAACCCTAAAACCCTAAACCCTAAACCCTAAACCCAAATCAAGAACCCTAAAACCCTAAACCCAAAGCAAAAACCCTAAAACCCTAAACCCTAAACTCAAATCAAAAACCCTAAACCCCTAAATCCTAAAAGATATTTTTCGGGGCCTGGGTCCGACATCGTCCGACGGTTCAGGAGTTTAGGCTTGATTCTCCGGTTTAGGACTTCGGGGCTCGTTTTCGCGATGGTTAGCTTCAAGGTTTTGGGATTCAAACTTACGCTGCTATAGTGTAGTATAGGGTTTAGGGTTTAGGGTTTATGGGTTTAGGGTTTAGGGTAGTACAGGAGTAGAGCATGCTATGCTGTGCTGTACTGTACCATGCTACACCATAGTGACTTCGGATGACAGAGTGTGATGGTCGTTGGCCCAGTGGGACCGGTTGGACGTTGGAGCAGGGGCAAGGACTGCGGGCCTTCCCCAGAGAGCCCAATACCCCTTAAAGAAGGAATATACTTTAAATCATGCTATTAAGCCCCCTATAATTTAAGGTATATTCCTTATTTAGGGGTATTGGGCTCTCTGGGTCTCTGCTCTGCATTGCAGGCCATTCACGCTAGCTCGCTGAAGTTGTCAGGAGCTCGCGACTACATCAACGGAAATAGAGGCCATCAACTGAGACATTGTATGTAATTCGAGCGAAAGACGGATGGATCTGACAAGTCCCCTACGCCCCAAGAACAGACAACAGAGCAGTCAGACAGACACACACACACAAACGCACATGAGCACAGACGCGTACGTAACATACATACATGCATACTTACATACATACATACATACATACATACATACATACATACATACATACATACATACATATGTACTTACTTACTTACTTACTTACTTACTTACTTACTTGCATACAAACTTGCATACAAACTTGCTCACTTGCTTACTCACTTACTTACTCACTTACTTACCCACTTGCTTACTTACTTACTTACTTACTTACTTACTTGCTTACTTACTTACTTACTTGCTTACTAACTAACTTACTTACTTACTTACTTACTTACTTACTTACTTACTTACTTACTTACTTACTTACTTACGTACTCACTTACATGGCTTACATACATACATACATACATACATACATACATACATACATACATACATACATACACACACACACACCACACCACACCATACCATACCCCACCCTGCCCAGCCCTGCCCTGTCCTCCCCTACACTACGCTACCATACCATACCATAGTGTGTCATTTCGAAAAGAGTCACATAAGCTTGCGGCGATCATTGCAGGAGCAAGGGATAAGCATCAACTCGAACTCCAAACCCCCGTTTAAGGTCAAATCTCCTTTGGGGGAGGCAGTGGCAAGGCCGTCAAGACCCCGTCCGCCGTCAGGGGCTCGGGTTTGCTTGTTCAGACATTGCGGTCTTCTTCTTCATGTCGTCGTTGCTGTCGTTGTGCCGGCTATGGTGATGATGATGATGATGATGATGATGGTGATTATGGCTGTCTTCACCACTGTGAATGTTGTGATTTTCAGCATTCCTATGACTTTGATTCGTCATTATTACAGTTATCAGCATAAGTTCTACGACTGTTACGATTGTACTGCAGTCTTCTCCTTGTCATGACTATAAAACTGACGATTTGGTGTGTTGCTATGACGCATCATGACCATCACGGTCGGCAGAGGGGGTTCAGTGACTTTTGTGTTAAAATCCAACTTTACCCTCAACCCCAACGCCCTAAATCCCGAATCGTTTTCGGGAGGCATCTGTGTAGGCGGGGTGCTCCGGGCGTGTAAGGCTGTTGGGTCTAGGGTAAAGGGTTTAGGATTACTTCAGAGTGTGGCCTAAAGATAAAGGCAAGAGCGCCTGGGATGCCAAAGGTTTAAATTTGAGATGTCCAAAAGGTCCCATAGTCGGTGCTATGCCGTTTCAGAGTCCCTTCGCAAGTTCGTTTTGAAGCTCGTTCCATGGGCCTTATACGTTGTGATTCGATGCATCATGATTTCACATCCGGAGTTCCGGAATGTTCGTGAGGTCATTTCTGTCTCTCTCGGTGGAGAGGGGGGCGATGTCGGACTCCAGTCAGCGACCGAGCATTAAGGAGCAGCAACTCTTCACACAGACTCTCGCTTGCTGCAGGGCCTGGCAGAAGTACATGTCGGAGCACCTGCTTGAGTCTGGCCGACCAAAGGCCCCCAACGCTATCAGCCCTTTCTTCGTGGGAGCACGGCACACTCGACTCGCTGAGTTCGGGAGTAGTGTTAGTGTCGCAATGGCTTGATGCGCACATGCTGAGCGCAGCATGGTCAGCTGCTGTCCAGGAAGGGAGCGTCTACGGATGCTGCACGCCTCTGTTCGCCGAGAGCACCACTGGAAGGATCGCATGGGACAGTTGCCTAAAACAAGTTCTCCCAGCCGAACCGTGCTTCCAAAAGCTATTGCTCTGCAACCCTAGGCTTGAAATCCCAAATGCTACACCCGACCTACTACTACTACTACTACTACTACTACTACTACTTCTACTTCTTCTACTTCTACTTCTGCTTCTACTTCTACATCTACTACTGCTGTTTGCTTTGTGCAGGTTCATCCCGAGAGCCATCTTGGCTGGGTATGATGGTGGGAAGCTGGATACCATCAGTCAGGCTCCTGTCATGTCTATCCTGGGAATGTGTGCACCTACGTATGCATGCAAATACGTGTGTGTATGCATTGTGTATGTGTGCTGTCTGTATGTACCGTATGCATGCATGCATGCATCCATGCATGCATGCATGCATGTAGGTACGTCACGAAATGTCACGAAAGCTAGCACTGTGGAGCTTGCGGGAGTTGTCGTCTAGCAATGCAAATGAATAGTAGGGGCCCCGCTCCCCCCTTGTGCAGCATGTTTAGAATGTTTTTGTGCAGGGCATACGTGTTGTTTCGACTCCGCAAGATCGGCACCAGTTTCAACAAGCTTTCTGCTTTTTTTGCAAGCGAGATTCGCAACAACTGTCAGTCAGCAGTTAGCAAAGACAGTGGGCATTACCGAAAATGTGCCCTTGACACTTTCTAGGAGGCAGAAAGCTGGTTTGCATGTGCCAGCCTGAAAATGCCATTTGACCCAGGAAATCTTTCGCATGTACACAGTTATGCAGTCTCCGCCGCGCTCGAGTGCAGTGTGGCAACAGATTCGCTTGACGAGTCACCCCACCCTTTCCCTGCTACACTTCCTTCCCCTAGCCTTCGTGATCCTCTGCTCAAGTATGTATGTATGCATGTATGTACGTATGTAGGTATGGATAGGTAGGTATGTTGGTATGGATAGGTAGGTATGTATCTATGCATGCATTTTTCTATGTACACACACACACACTTACGCATGCACGCCGCGCGACAGTTTAATGTGCGAGGTCTTCACACAAACCGCCAGGACCTTTCGCAGGACTTTGCGACGTGCGTACACACACAAACACAAAGCACGCACACAGCGCAAACTCATGAAGCCATGTTTGTCCCCTGTGTGTACTCGCAAAGATTGTACGTGAAGATAGGTGTGCATGCATGCATGCACAGAAGAAGTGTATGTGTTCATGTACTGGACAGTTCTCATGTACATGTTCAGGCACACATGCACCAACAAATGAATTTGCTGAAGTATCTGTTGAGGTGTTTCACTACGTGGGTTATCATATGGGAAAACGTCTTAAAGCAGAACTCAAGGTGACTCTTGTACCAGGCAGCGCACGAAAGATCGTATGAGAGAGCATGAACGACATGCATTGACACCTGTTTCGATTGGTAGTGATTGTCGTGGTGACGTCATTATTTTGTGAAACAGCGGAGTTTCCCAGTATACAGCACCTATTCCAGAACCCAAAATCGTAGGCCCGGCATTATAAGGACCCCTAAATTCCTAAAGGTTGAATCCCATTTTTCAGAAACCCTCCAAGTTGTACAGACCGGCCTTGCTGTCGTGTTTCAGGGATCTGAATCTCGGAGCCTTGGATTCCAGCAACACCTGCACCGAAGTCTCGATATGGGAATTTCCGAATATTAGGGTCCCCTGTTTTCGGAAACTCCCATACCCTGCTAGCTGAAATGTCGTGGCTTCCAAATACCCGGTCACCTTTGATCATCTTGCACTTTCTTACTGCATGGTGGACCTGGACAATTGCAGTACTGCCTCCTTTAACGGGGACCACCTTATAGAACCCTACAGCACCGCCTTTAAACGGAACTGTCAGGCAGGCATCTTCGCGCCAACCTCGATCTTTGCAGGAAGTCGTCCTGGTTGGCCACTCAGAGTAGCCACGGTGATAGCTGTTTCGCGCCAGCTACAAGTCCAACTTCTATAGGGCACGGTTGAGGGTTGGGGGTTTCGGAAAGTTTGTTGGAAAGGCATGGGCTTACACCTTGAGCGGCCATGCTGGTGATACCTTGGCTTTGTCTGCTGCTGTGATCGGTTGTGGTGCACGCCAAGGCGACAATAGTTGGTCTGCTGGACAGAACGACTCGTCTTTCATCGAAGAGGCTTGTTTGTGCTGTGAAGTTGCCCGTTTCTGCACCTTTCTCTGCCTTGCAAGTCCGCACTTCGAGGTTGTGCAAGCATGCTATACCACAACCTAAGCATGTATTTTCCTGTAATGCTCCTGTTGCTCTTCTTACGGTCAGATCCACGAAGCCATCCGTCGGCAGATGGAGCAGGCTCGGGTGAGACTGCAGGGGAGCTCCTCGAGTGAATCTTGGGGTCTCATACTCTCATAGACTCCTGCAGTTGCAGGCTAATGTATCTAGCGGATTCTCACTCAGCATAGTTGTGGTTACTTCCAGTAGTCTTGATATCGTCGCGCCTGTACGCGCTACCGTTTTGTAAGTCGTTATGTTTATGCTCCGATGATAAATGTTTCTGGTGAATTCGAGTGCTACTCCTGCGCCGACGGCTCCTGCTTTTGTTAGGATTGTTCGTCTGGTGTCACCCACCATCATCAGATTTATCATGCTTGTTACTCTTGCTCTTCTCTTTTTGGTCGTTGTCTTATTCGGGTTATTTAAGACTGCTTCGTTATCACCACTGCCAGTACTATTTCCTCGAGATGCCTGGGTGCAGCTAGGCCGACTACGTGGAGGGCCTGCTCTTCAACCACGGGGCGGGCGAGGAGACTACAGAGATTTTCAGGTTTGGTAACCATAGAACTGCTTCTTTCATGGCCGTTGCAGAAAGCTACAGTCACGAGGCAGTACAATCCGAGGAGCTGAACACGGTGAAGATAAAGGGTAGGCTGCCTGACGATAGCTCGATTGCTTCAGCCCGGGAGTTTTTCTCTCGGGTTGGTGGGGTATGCTTTCAACATCCACGGTGCCTGTGTCGGTCTTACTTGCGTTGTGCTTTGCATGTGTTGCAGGACATCTGCATGGGCGGCGTCGCAGCGGCGCCAGCCGGCAGCATTGGTAGTTGTTGTCAGGCATCTCTAATGCTTTCCACGTGTGCATGCTACAGGTAGTTCCCCCAACCCTAAACCCTAAACCCTAAATCCTAAATCCTAAACTACACGCATGAAGAAGCAGGATTTGTTTTTCACAAAGCTCTTGTTAGTCGGACGGCAGCACCCTCGGGTCGCATCGCTTCCGTGGGCCCACCAGCCTTGATCGCTTCCTGCTCTCGAAAAGTACCTAGATGAATGGAAGTATTATTTCCGACAGCACAACTATCGGTATATGAACCTTCAGCTCTAAAGGTAGTGGCCCTATACCCTTGTACTAGGGATCCTTGAATGACCAAGACCCGGCTAGCAGAGCTGAAGCACCCGATGGTCTGCTCCAGCTGTCGTTGCAAGACCAAGGATTTACCGCAAAACCGCTGAGGATTACTCCAAGCAGATGAGGCATCTGCAGAACCTTTAGGGTTTAGGGTTTAGGGCCCCTATGCCGCATTAGTGATGCAATCGCCGGCTGTACCTGTCAGGCATTCGGTCACTTGCGTGCCAGACCTCACAGGGGAAGGCCCGTGCACACACTCTCTCGAAGACGTTGTACTGTGTTAGAAACATATGGAAGGTGATCGTCTTGCGTGTACGATGCTGTCTTCGCCTCTGATTGAGTACCTGGACCTGGTGACCTTCTACGACAGGCTTGCACCAAGCATGTTACATTAGACATCTTGTCTTATCGTCTTATCTTTTATTTACATATCAAATTGACATATGTTATGTTGTACTATGCCATACTATCACCTCATGGAGAAGAACAACTTCCTGACAGGACGTCCCTTCAGAAAATGGCGAGCTCCAAGGTCAATGGTCTTGGTCTCGCTTCTCCAGGCTCCGGATCCGTCGCACCCTTCGAAACCATGGTAGGCCGTAAGCCCTCTAAGGGCATAAGAACGCTCTCCCAAAAAAAAGGGGCCCCTTTGAGGTGAGGGCTCCTTCAAGGGCTCCTTTAAGGAGTGCTATAGGGTTCTGGAGTAGGGTCCCCTTTAAGGGTACTGCGAGTACCGTAGTATATCATCTGTAGCACCCTCACTATCATTCTCGCGATCATCTCTGTCGTCACATTTTCATTCCTTTCACCGTTTGTCCTACTGTCATGTTGGGCCTAAACCCTAAACCCTAAACACTGAACCCTAAACCCTAAACCCTGAACCCTAAACCCTAAACCCTAAACCCTAAACCGTCCTTCTGGCGTCTGGGAACTTCAGAAAAGAAGCGACAGGATCCTTCATCTGAGAGCCCCCTAGGGTACCCTATTTTGAGGTCCTTAGAATAAGGATCCTACTATTTAGGGTGCTATATTAGGGTCCCTTACTTCTCTCAGATTTTCGGTTCTTAACACCCTAAAAGCCCGGCTCGTGCCCTAGAGCCCTCGCAGCCCGCAACCGTCCGAAACAAATTGGGCCCTAAGCCGTAAGCCCTGAACCCTAAACCCTAAACTCTAAACCCAGCCCCTAAACCCTAAACTCTAAACCCCAGGCCCTGAACCCTAAACCCTAAACTCTAAACCCAGCCCCTAAACCCTAAACTCTAAACCCCAGACCCTGAACCCTAAACCCTAAACCCTAAACTCTAAACCCCCTGAACCCTAAACCCTAAACCCTAAACCCTAAACCCCTGAGCCCTAAACCCTAAACCCCCTGAGCCCTAAGCCTCACCACCGTCGCAGATTACGCGGCCTGTACCGGCCTGGCGGCCCGACTGCTCAGCGGCATCACTGGACCACTTCGGCCAGTCGCCCGGGTGGTTTAGGGTTTAGGCTTTCGGGTTTAGGGTTTCGGGTTTAGGGTTTAGGGTTTTAGGGTTTCGGGTTCAGGGTTTAGGGTTTAGATGGGTTTAGGGTTTAGGGTTTAGATGGGTTTAGGGCTTCGGGTTTAGGGTTTAGGGTTTTGGGTTAAGGTTTAGGGTTTAGGGTCTTCTTGTTCCTGTGCCGAGGGCTTTAGGGTTTGGGCTTACGTTCATCCTGAGCGGTACCTTGTTTTGTGCTCGTCATGAATGTTGCAAGACCTTCATTATACTGTTACGAAAGGGGATGTTGCTATGTGATAGCTGCTAACTAGACTATTCACAACCTGCAGATTTGCCTTGCGTTGTCCCGACGATCACTTCGAGAACTTTCCGGGATGATGCTGAGGTTTGGACGGGCCATCAACGCCGTGGAAGGAGCCCGGTATGCTCTTCCGGTAGCTCAGACCTAAGGGTCCAAAAGACCCGGTTTAGGGTTTTGGGGTTTAGGGTTTAGGGTTTAGGGACCTAAAGGTCCAAAAGACCCGGCAGTTGCATATGACAGAATAAAGCCCGTATAAAACTTGTAGACCCCCTAACATTTACAGGGGAGCTTCATAGTTGTGGAGTAACGACTCGCAACGCTGCCGCCCGCGCATGGCATGCAGTGCCGAGTTTTTTCGGGAGTCGGGACAATTAGGGGCGTCCCAAGGTTGCGCCTTTGTCGCTCCTCCGTATAGTTTAGTATGGTATAGTGTAGTATAGTATGATATAGTATAGTATAGTTTTATATAGTAGAGTATTTCCACGCCCTGCCACGAGGATCGCGCCTGGCGACCTGGTCGAGTGATGCAACAAATCTGTGCCCTTATCCGAGAATCCACTTCATGGTGCCATCCTTGGGTGGTGTCATGGCCCAGGACGGCTGGGTACTTCGCTACTTCACAACTTTTTGGCTCAGACCTGTGATCTAAGCGAACGACTGGGCAGGGAATGGAGGACTTCGCCGTTCCTGGACAGGCAGGCGCAGAGCCAGGCACGGCATGCTGGTTTCGGAGTGGGTAGTTGTCAAAATTATGGTCCCTTTTGGGGTACCCTAAATAATAGGTGCCGTATTATAATAAGGACCCAAAAAGGGACCATAATTGTGACAACCACCCGAGTGGAGGAGGCATGTACTCAGCCAAGTTGACAGGCTTCGAAGCTGCGGGAGCGGCTCTACGACGGGAGACCCCGGCATGTACCAGTCTGCGTGTCCTTGTAAGTTCTTGGAGCTAATTCTGTCCCTGGCGCCAGCAGCGCGTCTGTCGTAATCACTCAGCTGATTACGATCACATCATTTCTTTGAGCCACTTCCCGAAGTGATCCCTAGTAGGAACCCTAAACCCTAAACCCTAAACCCTAGACCCTTAGAGAGCTGAACTGCGTGGAGTAGAGTGGTGACCTGCTTGGACTTCCAGGGTTCCCTCTCCAGCTGCCTCAGCCGCGGGGACGACGGCAAAATCATCGTCTGACTCTCGGCCTTTCTTGCACCGACCCAAGGTTTAGGGGTTTAGGGTTTAGGGGTTTAGGTTTAGGGTTTAGGGTTTAGGGACAGCGAGAATGCAAGTTGTTGCACAGATACGCAGAACAGGATTACGAGTAGCAGCAAAGACAAGAAACTGGCAACTGAACGAGCACCTACTGCTGCTAAATCCACTGCTCTTGCTGCTGTTACTCGTGCATTCGTAGTACGAGCAGCAAAAACAGAAGCAGTAGCAGTGGAAGCAGCAGCAGCAGCAGCAGCAGCAGCAGCAGCAGCAGCAGCAGCAGCAGCAGCAGCGGCAGCAGCGGCAGTGGCCGCAGCGGTAGTTGTAGGGGCATGAGCAGCTGACTTTACAACAGGTACAAGCCCAGCGGGGTGAAGGACAAAGAAGGAGGTAGCTCAACAAGCAGAATCAGGAGTCACAGCAGACGGCTGCGCTCCTTGAAACTCTTCTGGACCGCAGCGCCAAGATGGACAACGAGAAGCATGACATGTAAATAAAACTCTGTTCTCATTGCCATCGCAGTGTGATTTAAACAAATCTCACAGCTCTGAGCACAAAACTTGTTGAACCTTTACCCCCTAGCTTTGTATCCCAAGCTCTTTAGCCCTCCTGGCCCCTCCCCTCCCCAAGGCCATGGGTATGTTCTGCCGTGGCGTGGAGCAAGCCAGCGCCATCGCCAAGGCACGGGGCCTGCGAGGTCTAAGCTTTAGGGCCGAAAGTCCGGGGGGTTTAGGGTTGAGGGTTGAGGGTTTAGGCTCGGAGACTGTAGGATTTTGGGTTGTTACGGTGTAGGGTTTAAGGTGTCCACTTTCCGGTCAGGAGTCGAAGGTGTGGGGCTTAGGGTGAGAATTTCAGGCTATTGTAGGGATCGGGCTTCCTGGTTCCTTTCTTGAGTGCCGAGGTTCGCAGCACCCGCGTCAAAGTCGCAAGTTTTTGCTGCTAACTAAGATTCAATCACTGCCACCACATGCCCAAGGCATGACACGATCTGAACCGTCAACCTATGCCCCACGCTCAAGCAGCACCTTGAGCCCTAGACCGCAAGATTTAGACTCGAAGCCAAAAGAAATAGCCCTGCAGCGAAAGCCAACCTTGAAATTGAGTTCCAAGCTACGAACCACAAACCCATAACCCCAAAGTACAAACCTTAAGCCCCCGAGCCTCGAGATACACACCTCCTAAACCTAAACCCTTACCGAACCCTACAGCCCTTACAACACCTTCATCATCGTAAACCCACAGGACTCTTAAAAAAAAAACTCTGAAGCCGGAAGCCCAAACCGCAAGCAGCGAGTCTTTGCCAGAGGTCGCCGAGATCAAGACGGACAGGAAGTTCCAGGCTGCTAATGTACAAGACTGTTGGAACTCTGAATAGTCTGCAATCATGATTACTATTGTGGCTGTCGTTACTACTGTGATTACTATGATTATCACGATTATGATTGTTGAATTCACGAAGTAATGATTCAGTGCATCAACTGATTCATGAGAAAGCTGGGGTCAACTCAGGACAGAAGAACGTTCGAGCCCTGAGTCCTGAGGCGTGTACTCTAAATCCTCGTAACATACAGAAACGACAACCCTCTCGTCTCTTCTGCTTGCAGTTTGCTTTCGGGTCAAACCTGAACCCTGAACCCTAAACCCATCTAAACCCCAGACCCTAAACCCTAAACCCCAAACCCCAAATCCTAACCCTAAACCCCTAGACCCTAGACCCTAAACCCTAAACCCTAAACCCTAAACCCTAAACCCTAAACCCTAAACCCTAAACCCTAAACCCAAAGCCCCAAAACCGAAGCTGGTGAGAGCAGAACGGTGAGGGAGGGTAAAGCCTCCCGGTATATGAGGACTGCAGTGACGCTAATGACCTCTCTGCCGTCAGGCAGTCAAGAAGGACCCCAAAACCCGCAACATTGTCGATCACAGTGCTTTTGGGTTGGGCTGGGGGGTGTGGAGTGCCAGGCTGGCAGATTCCAGGGACCCGGAGGGGCAAATCCTAAACCCTGAACCCTATGTAAATCCGAATCTGCCAAGAGCGCTGCTGACCATTTACAGGGGCGCTCGAGGCTCCGACAAAACAGAAGGCGGTTGGGGACGTTTGTGCTCTTTGGGGGTAGCCCAAAACGGGTTGGGCCCCATTCCTAAAGAAACACACCCACTGCGTGCAGCCTAAATTCCCAGCGGCGTTCTGGGGCCGTTCCCATCCATAACTGGGTGCCTGAAGAGGCCCGGCAGCCTTTACAAACAATGGGTGGAGCCTATGGAGAATGGTCAAATACAGCCCTGTCTGGGCTGTCAAGGGCTCCTCCTCGCCGCCTACCAGCCTCAGCTGCGCCTAAAATCCACTAGAATACCTAGCTTCTCCCCTTCATACACAGGCCCGCGAAGTCAGGCCCCCGAAGCAGTGGCCTGGCCTGGCCTGGCCTGGCCTGGCCTGGCCTGGCCTGGCCTGGCCTGGCCTGCCTGGCCTGGTTTTCGCTGTCCCTGTTGCCCTGCCTGCCCGAAAAAAATAGCGGCGTACGAAGCTGGATGTAATTAGTGTGGGAATTGATGGCGTGAGCCCTAAACCCTAACATGAAATTGTTTGGGTGGTTGCCTTTGGTATCATCACAGCGGGCGGGAGAAAAAACTTCCGGTTGCACCGAGGCCTAGTACAAAACACACAAGAAGTCTCTTCACGCGATATACGCCGCCACCCACAAACCCTGGTGTGAGGTGGTGCCATCTTAGCATGGATTATTGGCCACTGCGCAAGAAGACGCCCTGAATCCAAACCCTAAACCCCAAATCCTAAACCCGAAACCCTAAACCCCAAACCCTAAACCCCAGACCCTAAACCCCAGACCCTGAAGCCTCGACCCTCTCTCCCGCGCCGGTCAGTTTGTGGATTGGAGCCCCACGGGCTTCGCCATCTACAGCTACAAGGATCCGAAGAGCCAGGGACCCGAGGCCAGGATAGAAAAGGGTTCCTTTAAAGGGTTCCTGTTTATGAAGGTTCTATACTAGGGTTCCCTTTAAAGGGTTCCTTTTTGAAGGTTCTATGGCCACAGATAAGCATTCAGGCTGCGGCTATCACCGACAGAGCAAACGCGCTGGCGGTGGCAGGGTTAGTAGCAGTAGCAGTGACTGTATCGGTAGTAAACATGTTGCCATTAGGAGCAGTCACGAAACTAGGAGAAAGAGCAACAGCAGTAACGGAGTTGCCCCGACCAGAAAAGAGTGTAATCATCGGCTTAAACCGGCACGCGGCGCCTCGAATTTCCAAATGCTAGCATTGGATGTTCGTGAGGCCTGACCATGCTCTTTTCCAGAAGTGCATCCAGTTCGAGCCCTGCAAGCCAGGTAGCTGTGCTGGAGAACAACACCTCTGTTGCGAAGATCTTCGAAAGCTTCAAGAGCGGCTCCGTGCGTGGCTCAGGTTCAGACTAGTTGACTAGTTTAGTCAGCCCTGCATGTGGAACTGATCTCTCTCTCTCTGGTGCTAAAGTGCGCAGCTGTGTGCATACCCGTGCCAGTCTCGAGTGTGTGCGATGAGGAAGAGCAGCAGCTGAACTCGGACGAAGGCTCGGCCATTAGAGCTGTTTTAAGGTCCCGCGTTTCGGTGTAGGGCGTGACCCCTGCCGAGGTTTTCGCATTTCACGAATTTTCGGATTTTGATCCCTGCTGACGTTTTCGCATCTCAGGCCGCCCACCTCCCATGACCCAGCCATTGCAAAGGGGAATCTGGGTGGAATAAAGAGGGGGGGGGGGGCATGTATCTACATATTACATTATATACCATGTGTATGTATGTATGTATGTATGTATGTATGCATGCATGCATGCATGCATGCATGCATGCATGCATGGATGCATGGATGTATGTATGTATGTATGTATGCATGTATGTATGTATGTATG